CAGCCTGTGGCTCCTTGCTTGTAGGTTTTCTCTGGATGCAGGGGCATCCCCAGACAGCTCACAGGTCTGGCTCTGCGGTGAGAAACGTCCTCCCTGGTAAAGCCCTCAGCCAGCTGCAGGGCAGGCTGGGGGGCAGAGCAATCTGAGGATGCGCTATCAGGCCCAGGGAAGCCCCTTCTGAGACACTCACGTTCTGTTTTCTCTTTATAGTGACTCGGTGATGGTACATGTGATGGTACCATTTTCTAGCCTAGATAACCTGGGCCTGATCTGCAGGCCCAAGCGATTCCCCGCGCAGAGCAGAGGTCGCCAACGATGCGCGTCATTTCTTGGTCCGAGCTCGCCCTCTTCTGTTGAGATTGTGAAGTGCATTTCTCTCGCCAAGTGGCTGCACGTTCCACTTCCCACTGCATAGCTCCCGTCACCAAACCTCCCTCCAGCAGCGATTATTAACGTGGAAAAAAAATTAAAACAAACAACCATCTGAAGGCACCAAAGAGCAACCAAAGGCAAACAGAGACCACAGGCAAGTCAGCACTTGGGAGGAGGCGATGGCGCCGCACGAGCTCCTGGCTGCTTCCGTCTGGACGGCCGCCCGCTGTCTGCACCATGCAGAGTGGGTAGAGCTCTGATAGAAACCCTGCCTCTCCGCCGGCTTGAGGAACCAGAAGACAGAACCCAGGGTTGGAGAGCTGCTGGGAAGAGAGAAGAGAAGTCCTGGAAAGAAGAAACCCCAAGTTCTGTGCACAACTGCCCACATCTCTGGCTGACCCCTAAAGCATGGGTGCACCAGGAAGACATCAAGAAGCCAGCTAAGGCTAAAAGAACCAAGAAAATGTGATCTCACCTGCCACTCACTGAGGAGGAGCAGAGCCTACTGTCTGAGTCCAGTCAAGTTCGCTTCCTACGCCCTCCAAAGGAACTTAACAAAATCCAGGGTCCATACATCATTCATAATGTTCAGGATATAATCCAGAATTGTTAAAGACATTAATAAACAGAAACATACGACCATTCTAAGTTAAAGGACTGATCCTGGGACAACAGATACTGGAAGGAGCTGACTGGGACACTGAAGAAGGTTTCCTAACAGCAAGTGTTCTCTTAATGAATGAAAAGGCAGATCTCAGTGGAAAAATAGGAACTGGACCCACCAACCAAATGGAAGTTCTAAAACTCAAAATATGAGTAAAAACTCACTGGGCAAGGCTAACACAAAAATTGAGAAGATTCAGTGAACTTTAAGATATATCAATAGAAATAATCCAATCCTATGAATAAATAGAAAAATATTAAAAAAAGAAGAGCCTCAGATACCTCCAAGATAATATTAGAAGATTTGACATATGTATAATTGAGTCCCAGAAGGAGTGGAGGAACTCAACCATGGGCAGAAGCAGCACTGAGGAAATCGTAGATGGAAATGGACTGAATTTTATGGAGTCATAGGGACAAAAAGTTGGAAAACCCTATTCTGGATAAACAGAAAGAAGATGGTACTGGGCACATCAAAGTCAAAATGCCCCAAACCAAATTTAATGACAAAATTTGAAAACAACCAGAGAAAAAAGACAAATTATATACAGTGGAACAATGAGTTAACTACTTGTCGATGTCTCACCAGAAACCGTGTAGGCCAAAAGATGGTAGAATGACATTTTTAAAGTGCTAAAAGAAAATAACTGTCAGCCAAGAATTCTGTATCTGTTGAAAATATCCTTTAAGAGTAAAAGCAAAGTGAGACTTACTCAGACAAAAGAAAATGGAAAGAATTTATGGGCAGCAGGACCACAGTACAAGAAATGCTAAGAGATGTTATTCAGGCTGCAGGGGAATGACACACAATGGAAACTGGGACCCTCAGGAAGAATCGAAGAGCGTGAGAGGTGGCAGGCTTGTGGGTGGAGGGAAAACCCTGCTTTCCCCTCTGAATGCCTTCATCCTCCATATGACTGCTTGAAGCAAGCATTGTAGCATTATATTGTGCTTGCTGTCTATAATACAAGTAGAAATGATCTATCAATTGTCAGGGAGAATGCACCCATACGGTTGCAAGATCTTTACATTTTAAGTAGAGTGGCATAATGCTAGTTCCAAGCAGACTGTGATGTTGAGGCTGTAAGCCCTAGAAACGCCAGCCACTTGGTTGCTTCTTTTTCTTCACCACCACTGCTCTGAGGGATGCATCCTCTTCCGAGGCCCCGCCCTCCGCCCCAGCCTGACGCTGCTTCTGGTCCCGCCCCTCGAAAACCCCCTTTTCCTGCTCCCCTGGAGTCCAGGTGGGAGTCCTCAATATTTCCTCATTTAGGGTGGGGTGCTCCTGATTGGGGGGAGCTCCAGTTTGTGTGCCTGTTTTCTTCTGTCACTGACACCCATTGTCCTTTCTTCTCTCCACAGTCGTCCAGAGACTTGAGATGAGAAAGGTATCTCTCTAGACCAAGAATAGTATATAAAAGCATAAAATTTATTTTCTATTCTTAGAAGAGAAGAGGAAGGGAGAGCGCAAAGAAGGGTGGGGGAAAGAGAGGTAGAAGAGAGAGCAGGGAGACAGGGTGGCATCTCACAGAAAAAAAAAGAAGAAATGCCTGTGGAGGGATCAACCGCTACTGTCAAGGGGTTGGAGATTAGTGGGGTGCAGTCGGGAAACTGCTGCATCTGTTCCTTCCTTCCTCTTGGTGGCGAGTAGATTAGAGACAGGCCGGGTGATGCCAAAGTCAGAGAGCTGGCTCTCCCACCTCTCTTTGAAGTTGCCACTGGGATTATCTATCACAGGAGATGGGCAGAGGCTGCCCTTGAGATATGCTGAAGCCTGAAGCTCCTTTACTGCTGTTTACTCAGGAACTCTGTGAAAAACAAATTCTCCAGAACGATTTTGAAAGAGAAAGATTTACACCTCTTTCTGTCTCATCAGCCCTTTTCAGAAGTTGTGCAGAACAGGGTGCCTGTTAGCAAAAGAATTTATAGGATTTATCTTTAAGCGTTACTAGCAAATTGCAGGATTAGGTATTTTCCTGTTATTTTTGCAATTATTGCAAGGCCACCCCTTTCAGAGTGCATCGCTGTGGAGGTTGTGTGGGGTCTGTGGCACTGAGCTGTGTGGCACCGTGGGCTGTTGGCACTGGTGTGTGGCGTCTGGAAGAAGGGGCAGGGACACTCGGGCACCTGAGCGTGGGAGTGTCCATCCATCTGGTCACATTCATCATTTGCAGGTGACCCTGGGTCCTGGCTTATGGGAGATGGGGCTGGGCATTTGTAACTTCTGCTATAAGGAAGAACCTCAGATACCACATAAGAAACACAATCCATTCCTGAGATACAGAAGGCAGAGCCCTGCGTAGAGTTTGTTTTCTTAAAGGCTGTTTTGTTCCATCTTTCAGGCCCTGGGTAGAGGCCATCTGCCCCCTTCTTGAACAGCTGACTAGTTCACACCCCAATCACTGTCCTTATCTGACTCTCACACTCTGGGGCCCTATGCACCAGCCTAACTGTCCCTGGGCCAGGTACCAGACAGTTAGGGTCAGCCCGTATGCCCTAGAGCCCCCAGAGTACTCGAATCAGCTGGACTGCTGAGCTGAGGACCCAGCCAACCCTCTCACTTGCCAGGGGCTTCCCCCTGCCCCCAGCTCCAGCTGCCTATTGCCCTGTCTCGGGTCACGCCATCCCGTGTGGCCCTGCCTGGCAGCCTTCTCTCTCTCCCCTTTGGAGCAGCAAGTAACAAAGAGCTCTGCCTTCCATCCCTCTGAGTTGCACCATCAAAAGAAACTTCAAATCATAACCACCAGGATGCAGGAAAGGTGTCTGACGCCTGTGGGTAGTTCATCCTCATGCTGCTACCTTGAGTTCCCAAACCTGCCCTGGCACAGACAAGGACAGCTGGCAGCCAGGCCCTGCCGGCAGTGCAGGTGTGAACACCTGAGGACAGGGTGGCTCCCCCAGGAGCTCCAGCCCTGGCCACACCCTGCTGAGCAGCTGTCCCCCCACCCCCTACCATGTCCAGCCTGTTCAGACACATGGTCAGTGCCAAGGGCCCAGGGGACCCTGTCCAAAGCCCACCTGGAGCAGAAGCTCCACGTTGTCCCTGGCCTGGTGGGTCCTACTTGTGCAGCACCATGGCCTGAGCCCTACCCCACACACCCCCACCCAGAGCTGTAGCTCCTCAGGCAAAGGCCTGCAGACACAGCGTGGGACCCTCGGGCAGGGCCACCAGCACCTGCCCTCTGCCCAGCCTCTTGTGCCCTTTGGCCTGCAGCACTCTCTGTGGAGAACTAGGACAAAGCCAGGACCCTGGTGCTCCCCACCCCCCAGTAGACTCGCAAAGGGAACACCCAGTGCAGCCTACCCCAGGGCTCCCACAGACAGGCAGAGTCACCAGGGGCTGCTGAAGCTTTTTATGCAGAACAAGGAGAGGCAGTAAGGGGGACAGGAGGGATGGCAGGGACTGCATCCAGCTGCATCTCAGGAGCTCCTCCCATGTCCCCACACAGGACAGAGGAGCTGGGTGGTGCTGCCCTGGGTGCTGGGGAGAAAATAAGGGGTGTCATTGAAGATGGGACAGGGAGTGGACAGCTTCAGAGTGGGGATATATGTGGGGTGGGGGTACAGGCTGGGCTCTGGGGGGCTCTAGCCACCATCTCAGAGTGGACAGAGCAGGATCCTTCTGGCAGGCTGTCCACAAGGCTGCGTGTGTGAAGAGGTGACGGGAGGCCTTGGGGCCAACAGAGTGAGGAAAGACTGTAATGCAGTTCTGGATTCTGGCTCTGCTCACACCTAGGCAGGTGACTGGGATGAGCCTCTGAACCTCCATTCCCCAGTGATGTGCAGCCGGTGAGGGACCCAGGAAGCCCCCGTTATATTAGCACCTGCCACACCCTGGCGTCTTTTAAGCACCCCATCAGGCCAACAGGGTAACAGTGACTATTGAGGGCCAGGGAGGTGCTGAGAAGGGATCTGGGTCTCACACCTGCTACAGGCACCTCAGGGGATCTGGGAGGATGGACACTGTCCCCCCCCAGCAGCCCAACCACAGGAGAGGACACCACAAGTGGCCTTCCCATTGCCCAGGAGCTGCACCCCAGGCCACACCTGCGTGCAGCATGGCTGGGGTCAGAGCCTGCACCTGCCTGGCCCAGGTGGGGAGAGAGACACCAGGCCTTTTCCAGGGCCACTGAACCCAAGTCTTGGGTTCTCTCAGGGTCCTCTAACCCATTAACTTACCCTAATTGCTCCTTGGAGGGCAAGTTTCTGCAGAAAGGAGGAAACGCCTAATTCAGAGACCCCAGGAGTCCTGTCAGGCCCCCAGAGCCCCTCCCTTGACCCCAAGGGACAATGCCAGAGTAAGATGCAATGTGTCCCTGTAAGGGTCACTCTGCTGGCTTTTCCCCAGGGACAGGGAGTAGTGAGAAGTGCAGCCTCTCTACCGCTCTGCTTGGGTATGAGGAAGTGCTCCGGGCTGAGGCCTCTGGCTCCCATGAACTTCTTAAAATCCTCCAGGGCTTCTGGGTTATTCTCAGCGTCTCTGCCTATAGGTGACCAGGAACCATGAATGTGCCAGGCAGAATCAGGAAGCTGCCAGCCCCTCCATGCCAGTTGGGGACTGGTGAGCCGTGGGGCTGGGGAGGACGGGAGGGCAGGGGCATGGGCTGCTGGGTCGGGGGCTCACCTATGAGCTTTGCCATCTGGACCTGCATCCCATGTAGCTCGCCCAAGCAGTAAAAAATCAAGTGGCCCTTCACAGGCGACCTAATGAGATACACTACACGCTTGCTCCCATCTGCAGGACAGCAACACGAGGCCTGAATTAGCCACATGAGCCTTTAGAAGGGACCCAGGGAGACCACACAGTGCCCAGGTGGGCACACTCTGCAGCTGCCATGCCCTCCAGCTGCCCAAGGCTCCCTGACCCCAGTTCTCCACTAGGCCTGAGCCCCAGGCCATGGGGCCCCCACTTCCCAAGGACCCAGTGCACCCGAAAGGCAGTCACATCCCAAACCAGTGAGTGGCAGGGAGGTTTCAGGGAGTCAGGTTGGCAGAGGTTGGAGCTTGGGGTGCTCAGTGCCCACCCATCAAATGTGACTCTTCTCCTGGCTCCCTACTAGGGACACAGCCACAACCAAAGGAATAGCCTTGGACACTCCAGTTCCTCCTGGGGACAGGGCTTCCACACCTAGTGCTGGTGTCAAGTGTCTGTGGTCTTAAGTCAGAGTTACTGGGGGAAGGGGAGGGTGGACTTTTAATGGGGTCGGAACAGAGTGGAAGGGGTCTCAGGTCAAAAGCCCTCCCTTAAAGGTGCCAGCTGCCCCCACCCCTCCAGTGTGCGTTTGGAGCAGGGTCCAGCTCAGCTTAGGGACTCACTGGCTATGTATTTTCCCGGTTGGCCAGTTTTCTCCAGCACGGCTTTTATCTTCTGGCACTGGCCATTTATCCTGGAAGACAGATGCTCCATGGGCAAAGAGGTCCTGGTTTGTGCCTCCTCTGCCTCGGCACAGCCCCACTAATGTGGCCGTCAAAGCCTCCCATTCACCCCGGGTCTGTGGCAGGGCAGGGAGGTTGGCACTTGTCTGCATCTCAGGTCCAGGCACCTGCCAGGCCCTCTGCTCACATGTGGTGGCCTTGGAGCTCTTGGTGTGGCCAGGAGCTCTGCGCCCTGGCCCCTGGGGCTGCTTCCCAACCCACCCTTGCTGGAGCCAGAGGGGACCCGGGGCTGCCTGGTTTGTAGGCAACATCTGTGGCCAGGGACCTGAGCCCTAAGCCATGGTTCATGGACCTCATCCTGCTGGCCTTCTTCCTTCTGGATACATTCTGGGACAAGCCCCACATCCACTGTCATCTGACCCAGTCAAAAGTTGAAGTAGGGGCTCTGGGAAAATGCAAATATTTCTAGGGTCAATGGTCCCCTAAGGGTCAGCCCCAGGACTAGAGAGTGGGCACTGCCATGCCACTCAGGAGGGAGCCACACAGGTGGGAAATCAGTTGTAAAATCACACAGCTGTTGGGTGGCACCTGTGGCTCAAAGGAGTAGGGCGCTGGCCCCATATGCCGGAAGTGGTGGGTTCAAACCCAGCCCCAGCCACAAAAAACAAACAAAAAAACAAACAAAAAAAATCACATAGCTGTGATCTGCACAGCTGAGAGCTGCACAGGTGGGAACTGCACAGGTGGAATTCGGCCAGCTCTGATCTGCACACATAGAAACTGTGCAGGGCTGAAGAAACCCTACCGGAAGGAGCCACTCAGGTGGGACGTTGCATAGGAATTTCAAAGGGGTCTTTGCACTGCCTTCCAAACCTTCTCCCTGGTATCTTATCTCCCCTCTAGGTCATCCTGAAACCCTGTCATTGTGGTCTCCAAAGTCTCTAAAGCAGAAAGTTATTACAAGTAAGTGCAGAGTCCTGAGGCCCACCCTGCCAGTTCTGACTCTGTTTAGGCAGAGGACATCTGTTCCCAGAGGGGTCTGCATGGCAAGCAGGTGCTCCCAGTCACTGGAAAGGGCAGGTGGCGTCCAGCCCTGCCACTTGTGCCCACGAGGTCTGATCTGAGGGCAGCCTCAGCAGCACGGTTTGCCCTTGAAACCCCCAACTAGGAGCCGAGTGTTGCAGGAGAGCCTCAGAAGGGCTCCAGCATGATCTGCTCACCCCACCGTGACTGGGTCTGAAGCCCAGGTCACAGCCGCCCGGCCAGCGGACACTCACAGCATGGTGATGGAGGCTTCCAGGTTGCCCCCCTCGAGGGCTGTGAAGGTCAAGGGAGTCACAGACTCTGGCTTCTCCCCAGGAATCTCCTTGTCTGCTGTCATGGCCTTCAGATACCACGTTCCTGACACCTGGAAAATGCTCCCCTCAATTAGGGCTCAGTCAACCCCCAGGGTGTCCCCTGCTTCTACCCCATCCCAAGCTGGCCCCAGGCCCCCACAGGTTGGCTAGAACCCCAGGAACCCTCCCTCCCAGGGAAAGGTAAAGTTAGTAGGCCCCTCCTTCCATTCTAGGCCCCCTGCACCCCAGGCCCACCTGGCCCAGACTCCTGTTCTGTCTAGCCATTCCCTTGAGGTAGGGGCTCAGTGTCTGGCCCTCAAATAAGGGTCTCTAACCAGAAGTTTTAGCCTTTCGCGAGCCCCCTCCAGCCCACCCTGCCCCATCTGAGCCTCACATTCTGACTCTCTTCGTCTGAGGCTGGGGCATCCTGGGACTGCAGGGCAGCAATGAGGCTGAGGCTGACGGCCAGGAACAGGGTCTTCATCTCTGGGGTCTGTGCTCACAGCCACTGACCAGTCACTTGAGGGAGCTCAGAGAGGCTGTTCTGGCTCCTTGCCTGGCTTCCCTTTATACCGCTAGGCTCATGGTCCACCAGGGAACTTGGCTCAGAGGACTGACCAATCCCTTCCTGGACATAAAGCATGGCCAGCTCTTCAATGAAGCAGATAAAATGTCATTATTGTTGGAAGTTGATGAATAACAGTTTGTTAAGTCTCCAAAGGATCATCCAGAAAGGACCACTGTCCAGAGGATGGACTTGCAGGTTGTACCAGGAGGGAAATGAGTGTGTGTGGAGGGTGTGCAGCCCTCCTATGTGTGGGGACGCTGAGGGGGAGCGCGTGGTGGCAGCAGATGCCCTCCAGCCGTCCCACACAGCTCCTCAGATGGCTGACACGCATGCCAGAAAAGATGCAGGCTGGAGTCAGAGGGCCAGGTCGAGCTGGCCTTCCTGCATCCCGGGGCAGGTTAGTCACCCTCAGATTCATCATGGAAAAGAAGGGACCTGTGGGTGGTGCCTGTGGCTCAAAGGAGTAGGGCACCGGCCCCATACGCTGGAGGTGGTGGGTTCAAACCCAGCCCTGGCCAAAAACTGCCAGAAAAAAAAAAAAAGGACCCTACTAGGTGAACAGGTACCATTTATGTTTGAAAGAGGATGCTCACCTGCCTGAGCAAGGAGAGGGAGAGAAAACCAAGACAGATGTGTGTGTGCTCACGTGCGTCTGCACATCTGTACATGCACACACAAATACACACACACCAGAAACGGAAGGGAACCACAGGGTGCTGAGGGGGCTGAATCCAGCACCCCCTGGCAGGCAGAGAGGCCTGGGGTTCAGCTCCCAGGAGTGATGGGTGGGGGTTCCCTGACATGTCCCAGGGAACTTGGGACTTGTTACTTGCTATAACTTTATGGGGAACTGTTGGCATAAGAAGGCAAAAGAATATCAGTAGCGCCTCCAGAGCAGAAGCTGAGACAAGCCATCCTCTGACAGGAGGGCTTTATCTGTGACACCCTGTGTATCATAGCAGAGCAGAATGCTGGGTCCAGGGATAGGACACATGCTGAACAGTGAAGGATGACAAAGAAAAGCGCAAATGGGCAGACGCAACAGCCTCACCTTAAAATGAGCCAGCAAGCTGACATTCCACATCACCTAAATAGACATCACACTTAGAGAGGTTCAAAAGGATCAATTGGTACAAGGATTTATTCTAGCTAACAAAGTCTGACAAACACATTAAAATTGTGGTAGTATGATGAAGATTAAAAGGAATAAGAAATTATAAAATCAGAACTGGCCAGTACATAAAAAAGGAGGTATGAAATAGAAATAGAAATAGAAATAAAAACCTCAATAGACAGGATAAATTCTAGGCTTGACTAAGTAGGAAAGGAACTTAGTATAATGGAAGACAGCATTGACAAAATCCATGAAAACCGAAAACAAAATTTGAAAGAGAAATTGAGATGTTAAGAATAGATTCAAAAGGAAGGAAGGAAGGGAGGAAGGGACGGAGGGTGTGAGGGAGGGAGGGAGGAAGGAAAGATTTATGCAGGAATCCTCAAACTATGGCCCTCAGGCCACATGCAGCCCGCTGAAGACGTTTATCTGGCCGGCCAGGTGTTTTTGCCACCGCTGCCTGTCCTACCTAGCAGCTGACTCGTCCCGGGTCCTGCAGTCCGGCGCTCTAATGGTCTGAGGGACAGTGAACTGGCCCCCTGTTTAAAAAGTTTGAGGACCCCTGATTTAGAGTCTCCAGCACATATGTAGTAGTGAAATGGTATTGAGGAAACCAGCCAGGGTGCAGCAGCTCTGGAAAACAAAATGAAGCATACACATACACATAGACACACACACGCACACACATACACATAGACACACACAGACACAGACACACAGACACAGACACACACATACACAGACACACACACAGACACACATACACATAGACACACAGACACACAGACACAGACACACAGACACACACACACACACATACACATAGACACACAGACACACAGACACAGACACACAGACACACACACACACACATACACATAGACACACAGACACACAGACACACAGACACAGACACAGACACACAGACACACACAGACACACAGACACAGACACATACACATACACATAGACACACACAGACACAGACACAGACACACAGATACACATACACATAGACACACACACAGACACACAGACACACAGACACATAGACACAGACACAGACACACACACACACAGACACATAGACACAGACACAGACACACACACACAGACACAGACACACACACAGACACAGACACACAGACACACAGACAAACACAGACACAGACACACAGACACACAGACACACACACAGACACACACACACAGACACAGACACACACAGACACACAGACAAACACAGACACAGACACACAGACACACAGACACAGACACACAGACACACACACACAGACACACACACACAGACACACACACAGACACACAGACACAGACACAGACACACAGATACACATACACATAGACACACACAGACACATAGACACAGACACAGACACACACACACACAGACACAGACACAGACACAGACACACAGACAAACACA